AGGATAATTACTCTTTATTTTTCTAGGACAGCTTTCAGAGGAACTCTTCCTTCTCTTTATTTTGGAGGCTGTCATGCATGAATGTGATATTCAACCAAAGGAAGAAGTCAATATTCAAAAGGAAGTAAAGGAATGAGAATCACAGGGAAATGAAGCCTAAAATCACAGAATGATATGTCTCTGAAGCCCACTTCACTGCTGCATGTCTCCATGTGTGCACCAGTACATTTTCTTCCTTGTATAGGTCATGTGGAATCATATTTTATGTGTCCTGCTGCCCATTCAGCCAGAATGATATGGAGCCAAAAACAAATGTTGTATTGTGTGGATCCCACAAACACTATTCCCTAAGAAGATATTTTTTTTAAATCACAGGCATCTACACCATCTGTCACTTTATATAAGTAAAAACTAAACAGAGAAAAGACATGTGACTGTCCAAGGCAATGCTATGAACCTAACAAAACCTAGGTTGAAATATTCATTTCTCTCCTAAATTTCCTTCCCCTGTATTGTATTTTTTCACCATTAAGATCATCTATTAAACTAGAAAAAGTGTTCTATAAAAATGTCACCTTCATTCGGTAATAATTTGAATACATAATTATTCATCCAAGAAAAATAATCCATTTTAGAAAATTAATTATTGAGTATATAAAGTGCTTTCATTCTTAGAATCTATAATGTGAATGGGCTGGATCATAATTAATACTTTCTAATGTGATTCTAATAAAGGTGTCTCTCCAATCAAGTTTGACAGCCTACTTGCCCAACTTGGCTCTTATTCTTTCAGGATCTTAATAAAACAAAAGTGAACTTTAAAATTGTTCCAAAAAGAAAAGTAAAATTGCATATGCTATTCTGTTCTAATATCTTTATATTTACCTAATATTGCTAATGCCATAACTGGAGAAAATAATCATTTTAAAGTTGTTTTTGCCCACAAGGCTATCTATTAATCCCTTCATAAGGAATAGATATATTGTTAATGGGTGCAACCTTAATACAGCTACATTTCACAATGTCTGCCCTGTCTGTTTACACTATCATATGTGTGCATCTTTATTTTTATAGTAAAAAAACACTTTAATGATTGAGTGAATAATATTTTGAAGTCAAATCATATAGTACAAGTTACTTTTAGTGTAACAAGTATGCAGGACTGGGGCTGGGGTTGCTGCTCAGTGGTAGAGCACTTGACTAGCATGTGTGAGGTACTGGGTTTGAGACTCAGCACCACATAAATAATAAATAAAATAAAGGTATTGTGTCCATCTACAACTAAAAAAAATTTTTAAATATGCAGGACTGAATCTTGGTCCACACCTGCACTAACTGTTTATAAGACAGTGTTACTGAGTAAATGGCACTCTCCAGTCACTATGAACTATTTGGGAAAGGACTATAGCAATTTCTCAGTATATATTTATGATTTATATAAATGGATAGGTTTTTGAAACTTTATATAAATGCTTGCTATTAAAACATCACAAACTCCCAAAACTTCTAGATGGGATAATACCTATATTTGGAGCCTTCTGAAGGAAATACCTTCTATCAACATAGTTTCCACCCCTGCAGTAAACTATTTGGGTAACATTTCCTGTGTGAGTTTATGTTAAGGTTCTGGTGACCCAACTTGCCACCTGATCCAATAAGTATTTATTGCAATCTATTGCTACCCATTGTATTCGCCTGGTTTCTTTCTACAGATAGAAGATGAGGGAGCATAATGCTTCTAAGACAGATGTTGGTGTTTTCAAAGTTTAACAGAACAGTGAACACATAGGGACATTCACAAATATGTCCTCTATACCATTAAAATACAGGGACTCAGCAACAAATAGGATGTGTATATGTGAGATTATCAATGCCCCCTTTAGTCCAATAACAAGGCCATATTGCTCTGAATCAATGGTTCACAATAAAAGGAATAGAGAATCACCAACTCTTGGGTTATAAAGATTTCTCAGGTTTGCTTTCAGCCTTTATCCACTGTTTATAATACTCTTCAGGAATGCTAAAATAGACACATTGACTCAACCATGGAAATAATTCCTATAGTGGATGAGGATGACTGATAAAATTGCAAGAGAAAACTTAGGGTTTCCATAAAAAAAAGCAAATGCATTAAAACCCAAGCAAGTGTCTGCAAAGCTTTCACATCTCATAATTTCAGTAATAAGCAAAATATTCAAGGAAGAAAATACCAAAGTTCTTTAAAATTTACCTTTTTAACATATAGATAAAGATTTATACCCAGAGAAACACAACATTAATTGCTATAGTACAGGTGGATCGTTTGTTCCCTACCAACATCAAAATGACTTTGATGAAAATATCAGCATAAATGAATCAAATTAATTTTTAAAAAGAGTTTGGAAGCTGGATGTAAAAGATCTGCTGACTTAGTTGGATTTTAAAAGCTAAAGGTATTTCAAAGCAAGAACTTTAAAGATAAAATTATAAAATTACCCATCCTCTAGGATCTGAGCCAATTACTACTCTAAGGAACAGTAAATAGGGGCTGGGGCTATAGCTCAGGGGCAGAGTGCTTGCTTAGTATCCTGAGACACTGGGTTAAGTCCTTAGCACCACATAAAAATAAACAAAGACATTCATTCCATCTACAACTATCAGTTTTTTATGTGAACAATAAATAAAATATGATTTAAGAAGGATCTTGAGACTCTACTTATCAAACAACTTTAGAAAGAGAATGATATTTGGTATCAAGTAGAATATTATGAGCATATAAGATATAATTACAAGAATTTAGAAAGAAAATGGCACCTGCTCTTTAAAAAGTGGGAAGGGTGGTTAAAAAGATTTGGAAAGTTGGCTGACCATCTAACATTTTAATTTCCATCAAAAGTCCTAACTTTTACACAAACCATTAGCACTAATATAGATACTCAAAACCAAGTGTTTTCAGAATCATGAGACAAATCAAATTATATTCTTTGGAAAAATAAGTTTTAGAAGAAAGTGTCTTGTAACAGATGCTATGGACTGTAAAAAGAACCCTTATTTCCATTTAAAATACAACCACAAAACACATGCTTTAAAGACAAATGTTGGACACCTGCCACCTCTATGATATAGATGAATTCCCAAATACTAAACTGTACAGGTGGTTTACTTTTAATGCAATCCAATGCCACTAAAACCTGTTAAAAACTTGGAATCCATACCATATGCCCATTCTCCTAAAACTAAAGTGAAAGTTCATTCCACCTGCCTCAAGTCTAGCATGAAATTAGCCAGTGGAAAAAGAAGGAGTTATAAATCACTGCTCTGTCAAGTCGAAAACCAAGCATGTAAATTGCTGAGACCAAAAAAGATTCTTCCCTAAGGCAAAAGTAAGAATGTTTGCTTACACCTTTATAAATAAAGTTCTGTCAAGCTGTGAGGGAAATATACTCATATCCATAGAGGTAGTCAGGGAACCAACCCTGTGAATCTCCAGTGTAATCTATTTCCACACAAAGGACATCCTCACCAGCTTCCTCCTGGGATAGTAAATAATCACTAATCATCCCAGATGGTGTGAATCTAAACTTATCAGTGACAGATAATAAATCAGGGCATTCTGATGTGTGCCATGCTATTACAGTTCCAATGATTTCATACCAACGGGACATTCAAACTGCTAAGTAGCATAATTAGTTACAGATAATTCCAAGACATTAATCATGCTTGGAATAAATCCTTGGAATAAATATTGAAAAGATTATTTCTTTATACATCTATCTATATCTATATCTATATATACATCCAAATACCTTAAAGGGATTAATTTGGTCCTGGGCTTGTAAGCATTCAGGCATTTAAAGTACACAGCACTTTTTAATACATAGCATTGATATTACATCACATAATTTATAAAATGAAGCACTATCACTTTGCAATTTCTAAAATTTTTTTCAAACATTTTATTTTATAGCCAATAAAATCAGAATCTGACTTTATTTCAACTGTTTCTTGAAATAATGCAACTGTACTTTTGTCAAGGAATGCAATACCCACTCCAGAAATAACTATGGAACAAGTGAATTTTGTTTAGGAATTTAGTGCTTATTTCAACATTTTAGCTACTTTGAAGAAACATATCTTATGACATTCCTCAAGATTCTTCAACCTAATGCCCCATTCAAGTTGACTTTCTCTGGGATGAAACTCTGATCATTTATTTTCTGAAGACTCTCTTCAGAACTTACTCATTTTATGTCTCATTTTCTTAAAATCAAAATCTTCACTAGCTACTCTCAGTAATCAAGCCAAACTCAAGTATTAACAACTAAAAACAACTCAATGGAAGTTTGCCTTCCCCAATTTTGCAGGTATATTTTAAACTGTTAAACTTGAAAGTGAGGGGACAGTTGGGTGTGTTATATTGATTATATATATATATATATATATATATATATATATATATATATATATTTGGGCTCGACAAACAGTGACATATGTGCAAATAGTTTGTGTCTGGAGTTGGTCATGATGTAACAAGCCAGCCCAGGTTATATGAGCTACCAACATGAGATGTTACATACATTCAAGAGCATTATATGCTAAAAATGCCATACAACACTCATGTGCACTTCTGCTAGATGATCCATAAATTGTCTATCACACAAAATGCTAAGTCCACTCCCAGATTATAAACTCTTTTATATAATTTATAGTGGTTTTCTAATTCAGAATATTTTAATTTACATGAAATCAAGTCAGTTTATTCTTTAAACTTTGGTGTCTAAATTCTTGCAAATTCTCCTTTCTATAAATTAATGGAAATATTCCCTCAAGTTATCTATAAGTACCTTTACTTTTTAAATCTTCAATGTATCTGGAATTTATTGTTATAAAGACTTAACTTTGTGGGGCTGGGGTTGTAGCCCTGAGTTCAATTCTCAGCACCATATAAAAATAAACAAAAAATAATAAAGACATTGTGACCAGCTACAACTGAAATTTTTTTTTTAAAAAAACTTAACTTTGTGCTTTCTTCAGCAGCACATACACTAAAATTGGAGTGATACAGAGAAGATTAGCATGGCCCCTGCACAAGGATGACACAGAAATTCATGAAGCATTCCATAAAAATAGATTTAACTTTATACTTTCCAAATTGGTAGATAATTATCCTAATAACATTAATTTTAAAAGTCAATGCTTTGATCTAAATTATTATTAATAGGATACAGTTTAAATCAATTACAATATATAGATGATAGAATACTTTGCAGCATTTTTGAGGAATGTATAAAAATGCCAACAATATATGTAGGTTAGCCTGTTGAAGAAAAATATATACATTACAAACCTATTGAAACAAATCCTTCTTCTGTATATACAAATGTCTGCATATTTGTTTAAATACTGAAAACTTCTAAAGACATACTTTTATAGTGTAAATATGAGCTGTCTCCCAAAAACTCATGTGTAAGACAATGCAGGAGGTTTAGAGATGAAATGATCACATTAGGAGAACCTTAATCCAATCAGTGAATTAATTCTCTGATAGGGATTAACTGATGGGTAAGTAAAAGCAGGTAGGTTGTGGCTGGAGGAGGTAAATAATTGGGAGCATGCCTTTGGGGTAAAGATTTTGTCCCTGGTGAGTAGAGTCTCTCTCTCTGTTTCCTCATGTGATGTCCTGAGCTGCTTTCATCTGCCACAATCTTCCACCATGATATCCTGCCTCACCTTGGGTTCCAAAGAATGGAGTTGGCAGTCTATGGACTAAGACATTTGAAACCATGAGTCCCAAAATAAACTTTTCCTCTTCTAAATATTCTTGTCAGGTCTTTTGGTCATGGCAGTGAAAAATTTGACTAAAACACATACAAATCAAACTGTTAATGGGTACACCTGAGGATTAGGAATTGTGATGGAAAAGAATCTTCTTTTTCAAGCTAATTTTACTTAATGTTTAAAAATCTTACTTAAAGTAAAAATACATGTATTTTGCATTTTAATGTAAATTTTGCAAACTAAAACAATTCCTTAATGTCAACCAATAGTATAATTAAAACATACCTTCCAAATCATTAAATATATATTAAAAACGACTTGATAAATACCTCCTATCTCAGGGATGGGGCTCTAGCTCAGTGGTAAAGTGCTTGCCTCACATGTGGGAGGCACTGGGTTTGATCCTCAGCACCACATAAAAATAAATAAAGATACTCTGTATTCATCTACAACTAAATAAATATTTTTTTTAAAAAAAAAACCTCCTATCCCTTCCTTACTTTGTTGCACCGTAACATGAACAAGAAATGAACATTTATTGAGTTTAGCCTCAGAGAATTTGGAGTTGTTACACCAGTTAGCCTACAGTGACTAAGACAAGCCTCCAGTCTTATTTCAATGACCTTACTTACTAATTAGGTAAACGAAATGTGCATATAAAAATTTGAGAGATCAAAGCAGCATATGCATACAATGTTCCTGGTAGTAAGGACTATAAAAATGAAATTAAGAAGAAATCCCCAAAAGAGTTTCACATAAGAAACAGGACAGAGGGCTGGGGATGTACCTCAGTGGCAGAGTGTTTGCCTAGCACATGTGAGGCACTGGGTTCAATTCTCAGCACCACACAAAAATAAACAATAAAATAAAGGCATTGTGTCCATCTACAACTACAAAAAAATTTAAAAAAAAAATAGAACAGAGATGGTCCAGTTTTGACAACATGATGAGGGAGTATAGAAAAGTGAGTAAGCATAGAATAAGAATAAACATTAAATTGATGAATTTCATTGGAATAGACTCTCTTTACTAAGAAGTAGTGAAGTTAATATTAAAAATATAGGTTAGGGGGCTGGGGCTCAGTGGTAGTGCACTTGCCTGGCATGTGTGAGTCACTGGGTTCGACTCAGTACCGCATAGAACTAAAAAAAAATAAATGCCTACTAAAAACTAAACAATAAAACTAAAAAAATTAAAATATATATATATCTAGGTTAGAACCTAATTATAGGGAATCCTCAATTTAGGCCTAAGGATATTGAACTTTCTCATGCAGAATCATTATGACAACTAGACATTATTTCTCATGCCAATGCCAATTGCTAGGGAAGGCTATGTCTTTACCAGGTTGAAAAAGACTCAAGTTATACTAAGTACAGTAAGAAAGGACTTCATAATCCATTAGCAATCTCTGACATGGAGTAATGGAGGCATTATTCTGTAGTTGATACATGCTAACTCTTCCAGAGGCAAGGACATTTTTGAGATGTGGAGAACTAAGGAGATCTCACAGTGTTTTTTTTTTTTTTCTTTTTTTTTTTTTTTCAGTTGTGAATAGATACAATATCTTCATTATTTTTATGTGGTGCTGAGGATAGAACCCAGTGCCTCACATGTGGAAGGCAAGCACTCTACCACTGAGCCACAGCCCCAGCTCTTTAAAGTGTTTTTGAAAGATAAATGTCACTTAATGTTGGTGAGACACGAAAGATAATTTGGAAAGAGAGCAATAGGACTTCGTGAGGCCTGTGGCAAAGGAGGAAACAAAGATGACACTAAGGTTTTAAGTACTGTCCTTTAGATTATCTCTATTGCCATATATATCTAAAAAGAACAAATAGAAATAAATTAAAAGAGAATGTCCCCCTTTTTGTATTTCTTCAATAAACTCATGCCTCTAAAAAACCAAATAAATTAAAAGATTAAGAACATTAAAAATAGATTATATCTTTTTGAAAATGGTAACAATAATTTAGAGAAGAATTCATTTTCAGGGAGATTATGAGATTTTAGAGCTGGTAACAATGTGGAAATGTCTTGTTAAACATTTGCTTGGGGTATGATATAGAAAATGCAGAATACAGAAAAAGGAAAACATTTTTTTCCTCTTCTGGGAGACAAGTTGCTAGAAGAGAAAAAATATCATGACTGAATTATGATTAGGCATCTACAGACAGGGGAGACAAGTTCCAAAAAAGCAATGGCCCATCAATCCATTGATTGGAAAAAAGAATTGAAAGTGTTTATTACCCTAGTTTAATCACTACTGTTGCATACATGTATTGGATTATCATACTTACTCCATAAAGTGGTATAAATATGCCCATCACTGTGGCATACACCTGTAATCCCAGTGGCTCAGGAGGCTGAGGCAGGAGGATTGCAAGATCAAAGCCAGCCTCAGCCACTCAGCAAGGTTCTAAGCAACTTAGTGAGACATTGCCTCAAAATAAAAAATAAAAATGGACTGAGGATGTTGCTCAATGGGTAAGTGCCTCTGGGTTCAATCCCTGGCATCCCCCCATACAAAAAAAAAGCAATATAAACTTAAAAAAATAAAATGGATATGAAAAAAGAACTATATATTTCTTTCTCAAAAATGACATTTAAAGAAAGCACAATTTTGCAATGCAATACATAGTTCTTCTTAACCTTTATTACAAAAATTACAAAAGAAGATGAATAACTTTGGGCTGTGGTTGTAGCTCAGTGGCAGAGCACTTTCCTAGCATGGGTGAGGCCCTGGGTTCAATCCTGAGCATCACATAAAAGTAAATAAAAATAAAATGTACAAAAAATACAATAACATTATCTTTTTTAAAAAGAGAATTTTAAAATTTGTAAAATTCTTGTTACTTAAAAGTTAAGCTTGACTTGCTTTTAATTGAATTGACATTTTAGCTACATTTTTTTATATTTAGAAGAAAAATTTGCCTGAAAAATCTACCTGAAATCACATAGGTGCATGGTAAATTCACAATTGATCATTTTAGCTTCACTACTACCCAGTGAAAGGATCAATCTGGGATTTCATTCTCCACTGTAGAGACTGATTTAACTTCTAGCTAAAAACATGATCTGATTTGCCTAAATCCCTGTGTAAGTTCACTGATGATATCAGGATAAGAATTGAGGTCTCCTAACTCCAAATTCTGTTGGTTTATTTTTTTAGAATATCACAGACATTCTGCCAGAATGGCATATTTGTTTTCACATTGGCCTTTTAAAATGTTACATATTATTATTTTGCATAAAGAGACTGTTAGAAAAAATAGATAAGGAGCCCACTATTAAGTTGTGTTTATTTGCCCCAAACAGAGCAAGATTATGCCCTTTATGAAAGCTTGAGGTTAGTCCATAACACCACCCTCAAGAAAGATTTATGATCTCACACAATATTTTACTGCTGTCATTAAAAGCAAGTGGTGAGATAAAGTGGTTTCAATTACACAATGAAAGTCTTGTCCTATTTCAAAGACACACTGAATTAAAAATGCTTAAAGTAATTGAGTTACTGTTTTCCCTTCTGTTCCAAATTATATAACATCATGAGAATGAATGAATTTTCTTATTTTATCTATTATTTATAGTGAACAAATACTGCATATGCTGGGAAAATAATAATCCATACCAAAGCAGATTATTTTCCTTTTTCCATTGTTCTCTGTGACTAAATTGCAAATTTGGGAATCTCCAAAAACTACTAAATGCTTTTTGTTTTGTTTTGGTGTTTGGTTTTTGTTGGTACTAAAGATTGAAACCAGGACCTGGAACATGCTAAGCACATGTTATACCACTGAGCTAGACCCCAACCTCTTTATACAGGTTTTTAAGCAGTATGTTTCCTTCATATTATAGGATATGGTTGATTTAGAATCCCTTATTATGTAACTGTCAGGATGTAATCCAGGTTAAAGAACAGAAAAAATGATTGTGATTATATACCTCTGAGACCTCTAAAAGATTGGCACCTATGTTCAGACTTGTTCACATTCAACTCTTTCAGAAGTAAAATGCTTCCATTTTATTCCAGGGGTAAAATTTTTCCATCTGCATTATAAAGATCATTTCTATATATCTTTTGGTAAAATTTGTAGCTCCTAATACATTGTAAAATGTGCACCAATCATCTAATAAATTCTTATTTGTCTTTCATATAATAGCATATTACACTGGTATGAGGTAAGCTGTTTAGGCGTGTTAGATTGCTTATAAAAATGGTCCTAATTGTCTGCCCTTCACTTTATTTGTAAATTTAATAACAAACCTTTTGTAATGTAGTTTGGAAGTTCCTCTGATCACAAAGTGTTGTCTCTTTTCCTACTCTTTGAATCTGAACAGCCCCTATGA